CGAGTTTCTGAGAGAAGCTTCAGCGAGCACCGAGGGACCAGATCAAGCCTGGCAGCCGACGAAGCCAGCTCTCCTGTCGCTCCTGCCGCCCTCGCGCCCACACCGTTCAACTCGACCCTCAGCCTGCAAGAAACCAGAGAGAGCCTACAGATCAATAACAGTGAGCGCGAGGTAGCGAGAAGGACAGAAGGGAGCGCGGGGAGGAGGGTGGAGCAGAGAGAAGAAGAGAGGGAGGAGGAGGAGCGTAACTGACCCTTAGCCTGCAAGAAACCAGGAGAGCCTACAGATCAATAACAGTAGCGAGCGAGCGAGGAAGCGGAAAGGAGCAGGGAGGAGAGCGGTGGTGAGGAGAGGAGAAGAAAGGAGAGCGGAGGAGCGGAGGGGTATACTGACCTTAGCCTGCCCAATAAAACGAGAGCCCTACAGCATCAACAACAGCGGACGGGGGACGGAGAGAGGGTAGGGAGGCGAAGTAAGCGGAGAAGAGGAGGAGGTAAGGAACGAAGAGGGATGGAGGAGGAGGACGGAATGATGAGAGAGAGAGAGAGAGAGACGGATAAGTAAGTGAGAAGACAATCTGTTAGATTCTGTTAGGGTATTGAGCACTGCACGAAGCTACAGATTTCACATGTTTGTTTTGTTTGTCGTGCCGCCGGGTGGCCGCTCACCATGCCCAGCAGCAAGACTAAACTGTCCCCTCAGGAAGATCTCCCGATTCACGTGTTCGAACTCGAACCGCCGCGAACTAATCATCTCGTTCCCGTCCGCCGAGACGCGCTGGACCGAGTTCGCGCCGTTATGACGGAAGCGCCGCGCAAGAGTCCGCTCCAACGTTCGAGGCCGCTCAAGCTCAGTGAGAGTCTCAAGCGTCACACTACCGCTGGCTGCGTTCGGCGGGGTTGGTAGATGAGAAGAGGCGAGGGAAGAAACTTAATGATGTCATCAATATTGTCATAATCTAGGGACCTTGTGTCAGAAATACAAAATTAAACATCTAATTAAACATTAATTTAATCATTTAATTATTTTTAATTAATTTAATGAAATATCTTAACGTTAGTTTTAAAATGGTCTATTTCTCGTAGACGGTTGACAGAATTTTGTTTCGTGGAGTTATGAGGACATTTGCCAGGCTACTCTATTCTCGTAACTTTACACTGTTTCTGTCAATGGTCGGACTAAGAGACATTTTACTAAACATTAATTAGCACAAGTTCATGTTAAAGTGATTACGTCACCGTAAATAGTAAAATAAAAAAAATATTTCCACTTTTTCACAAAATATAAGTAATTCTGTTCACTTTTTATGGTTAAATTGCTGCATTATACTTCTTATTTTACTATATTGTTTGATGTGAGCATACACTCGTGACTCATACATAGCCCATAGCAAGCAATTAATGTTAGGAACACAATATCAAATCGTCCAGGTTTTTTGGATTTTTAACTAGTTGAGAAACAATCTTATCAGGTAAGAATTTGAGGATACGTTTAGTCCCGTTAGTTCTTACTTTTAATGTAAAAAAATGGCCAAATTTTTTTTTACAAATTTTACCATAGAAAATTCGTGACATAGTCAATTTAACACTGATGCTAAGAGTGTTATGTTTATGTAGTTTTCGTTCATGACAATAGGCCCCTGTGCATGTCAAGTAGCCTGGTCATCTTCCTTGTTGATGTCTACGTGTGTCCACATCTGATGTAGAAGATCTGATGTATGATGATGTATGGCATGGTTTGACCTCATCATGACCTTTCATGTCGGCAGGTCAAGGCCTTCGCACGGGAGCTGTACGATCAATACTTCGTCGCTGCTCAGGCGACACCTAGGGGCGTTGTCGCGAAGCTTCGTAAGATAGTGGACAACCTGGACTCTGCCTATGCCAAGCAACTGACGAGGGTAGGTGATGGGGAGAGCGCGCACGGGCCGTGCTTATAAGAGAGCATAAGATAAGCATAAGAGGGTACATATAAGAGAGGAGTATTGATGTTAACATATATAGCATATATACTGATATTGTCATATATTAATGATATAAGCATGATATTTGTCTTACTTAATTATTATTAGCATCAGCAGTAGTAGTAGTAGCAGTAGTAGTAGTAGTAGTAGTGGTAGCAGTAGTAGTAGTAGTAGTAGTAGTAGCAGCAGCAGTAGCAGCAGCAGTAGTAATAGTAGTAGCAGTAGTAGTAGTAATAGTAATAGTAGTAGTAGTAGTAGCAGCAGCAGCAGCAGCAGTAGTAGCAGTAGCAGCAGTAGCAGTAGTAGCAGTAGCAGTAGTAGTAGTAGTAGCAGCAGCAGCAGTAGTAGCAATAGCAGTAGTAGCAGTAGCAACAGTAGTAGCAGCAGCAGTAGTAGCAGTAGCAGCAGCAGCAGCAGCAGCAGTAGTAGCAGTAGCCGACAGTAGTAGCAGTAGCAGCAGCAGTAGTAGCAGTAGCAGCAGCAGTAGTAGTAGTAGTAGCAGTAGCAGCAGTAGTAGCAGTAGCAGCAGCAGTAGTAGCAGTAGCAGCAGCAGTAGTAGTAGTAGTAGCAGTAGCAGCAGTAGTAGCAGTAGCAGCAGCAGTAGTAGCAGGAGCAG